TATATATATATATATATGAAAATTATTTCATACGTGCTGGACCGCATTTCTACATATGCGGTCCAAAAAGTGTAAAGCATCCATCTAAAAGATGGATGCAAGTAGGTGTCCCATCTAAAAACATTGGGAACTAACGACTCAAATGTTTTTTTACTAGAATAATCATTTTTAGTTTTTAAATTTTATTATTTATTCATATTAATGATCTCTATGTTAGTGATTACATGTCCTTAAAAATTAAGTCTTAAAATCCATCTAAAAAATAGATTTATTAAGAGGCCCTCATTTCTATATATGTGGACTTGGCCGCATAGAAACTGGATCCATATATATATATATATATATATATATATATATGGGTAGTGATTTCAGGCAACGGTTGTATAGTAATATAATGCACTTTCTTATATCCTCATATCTTTTTAGGCTTACCCTTTGCTCTTTTGGAGCCTTCCACTTTAACAAACTCACACCTCTTAACCAGTGCCATACTAATTATGCACTGTACATGGCCAACCCACATAAGTCTACTCCCTCACATCTTATCTCCTATTTGTGCCACACTTAAAATTTATTAAATATTCTCATTTTTAAATTATATCCCTTATTGTCTTGCCACTCATATATCTCAACATCCTCATCTCCACTACACTCATTATATGGGTATATTGTTTTTTGACCTCATAACATTATGCCCCATAGAGCAAAGCTTGTCTCATAGTTATCCTACATAACTTGTCTTTCAACTTCATTGATATGTGACAATCGTATAAAATTTTGGTTGTATATCTCTACTTTGTTTTCCGACTGTAATTCTATGTGTGACATCTTTATCAATCTCTCAATTTTTTTAGATAATCGATTTAAGATATCGAAATTGCGCTCTTTTTTGTATTACTAGGCAGTCAATTTTAATTACTTCATTGTCTCTACTCCTATTATTACTAAACTTGCATTCCATATATCTTTTCGTAGTCTGGCTAATTTTAAAACCTTTAGATTTTAGAATATTCTTCTAAAGTTCTAACTTTATATTTGACACTGTTTCGGATCTCATTAATCAAAACTATATCATTTGCAAACAACAAGTATCACAATACCTCATCATGTAGGTGTTTAGTTAAGTCTTCCAGAACTAAGACAAATAGGTATAAGCTCAATGCTAGCCCTTGATGTAGACTTATTGTCACTGAAAACTCACTCGTCTATTCACTAGTTGTTAAGAAACTAGTTAGCACTCCATCAAACATATCTCTCACAAAGTTGATATAGTGTTTAGAGACTCATTTCTTTTCCAATACCCACCAAATCAAATATCAAAGTACGCTATCATAAATTTTATCCAGATCAATAAATACCATGTGGAGGTCATTTCTTTTCACTCTAAACTTCTTAATCAGTTGCCTAAGTAGGAAAATAGATTCGGTTGTTGACATTCCTAGCTTAAAATCGAATTGGTTTTCTAATATACTCATTTCATGCCTTTGTCGTTACTCAATCACTTTCTCCTAGAGCTTTATAGTGTGGCTCATAAGTTTGATCCCTAGGTAATTCGCATAGTTCTGTATGTTTCTTTTGTTAATGTAAATAGGTACATTTAACATGTCATCTATTTTATTTAATTAATTTTTAAATATGTATATATAAAACATAAATAATTGAGTCAAAGTAGTTGTTACCTTAGTTGGGCTTTGCTAAAGGGTGAGATATTGATGTGTTAACTTAAGCAACCTATTTTATGGGTTGCCCACAGAGGTTCTAAAATCCAATGGGTAGATTTTTGGTAAATGAAGAGCAAGAGAAAATTAAAATAGTAACAAGAAGACAACAAGCAAAAAAAAATAAACAGATAAAAAATAACAAAAAAAAAACTAGAATTTTATGTAGTTCGGTTTAAATGTTACCGTACGGGCCAAGATGATCGACACTTTTTCATTAATCAATTGAAATAAATTACAAAATGGCTTTTACTTGAGAGAAGAACATACGAACTCAAATGTCTCACAAAACCTTTCTTTATATTTATAGGGAAAAGTTACGTTAGGATAAGCATAATCCATCATTGTCTTTCTTTTTTATGAGCTAAAACCAATAAACTTGTAAGATAATTCAAGCTTAGGATTCCTATACCTATATAAAAAAAACAAAGTATTCCTTAAGACCTAAAATTCACTTTTTAATTTAGGAAATCTAAACCAATCCCCAGAAAACCCAATGTTTGATCTTTAGATCGGAAATTTCACAGGTTGGTAATTTCAACCATGAAGATTATGAATAGTGAAAAATAAAAAATACTTTTATAAAAATATGTTTTGAACTTTTTCTTTTGCACTTTTTTTGTCCCTTCACATATCATCAAATTTGCACCGGTTTTTAGAGCCACCAAAAAAACGAAGAGAAAAAGATCAACGCTTTGATTCAAGACATCTTTTAACTCATGACTCTACACAAGGGTAGACTCACAATAGACGTTTTGTTGAAAGTTTAAACCGCTAGCGTTTGCTTTAACGAATGATTTTAAAAAATGGATAAGTGATCCGGATCAAGCACCCAAAAATTGGTTTGGATTGGTGAATCGACAGCTTGGATTGTCATTCCACAGTACAAAAAAAAGTCAACCAACAAAAAAACACGTAAAAAAACAATGAACAGATAAAAAACCGATGTAGATAAGTAAATTGATTGTTAGGATCGCCACAAAATTTTTGATTTCTTTTCATATTAGGTCGTTTTTCTATATATACGCATAACCATAACAGGGTGACCGATTTCTAGATCAGATCAGGCGATTCTGTGATGAGCGACGTTTTCTTAGATCACTTATTTTAACTATTAAATCTGGATCGATAAATTTCTTAAAAAAAAGAAAAAGAAAAATTACAACCTTACAGATGAAGCATAAAATTTTACTCTCTCGATTCATAGATGGGTTATTTCAACTTGGGACTAGGGAACAACGTCTACTTTGTAGGATTCCTCGAAATAGACATATTATGTGCACAAGCCGCCATGTGTTGGCAAGAAATTTATATCACGTGTTTCCAAAGAAAAATATATTTAATAAACAAACACAATGACCTTGACCTTTCCCCAAAATAACGTCCTCTATCCTCTTTCTTAAGCCCATTCAGGCGGTTGCTAAGGAACCGACCGATTGTAATTTGGGTCAGTTTCAGTGACTGACTAGGTATTTATTAAAAAATAAAAAAAATTATATAAAATCAAAAAAAAAGAAGAGAGATTTTGTTTATAATGTATTTTTAATTATTTTTATCATTAAAATAAAGATTGAAGGAAAAATTACAAAAAACACTCTAAAATGAATTATCTATGCAACTTACCCTACCCTAATTTTTTCTCTCATTTTTTTCCCAAGACAACCATTCCTCGCGAAACGCCTCAAGGTAAAAACTTTTTATTTTTTGGACGCAAATGCCTTTCCCGTACAAACCAAATCAATTCAAGGGTCCCAAGTAGCGTATTGCCAGAGCGCGTCTTTGCACTGAAAGAGAGCGTATTTGCAATGCCAAAGCGCGTTCTCATAATGCCGGATTGCTGTGGCTTAGAACTGCATTGCCGAAACGCTTGTTTATACTGCCGGAGCGCGATCCTCTATTGCTGGAGCGTTGTGGCTCCAGGGACTTCATTACCGGAGCGCGTATTTGTACTACTGGAGCGAGTTCTCATGATGCCGGTGCATCTCAGACTTGCATTGTCGGAGCGCACATTCAGAATGCCGGAGTGCGTGTTTGTACTACCGGAGCATGTGTGAAAACATGAGAGAGAAGGCCATGTGAAAACAAACAAAGGTAGTTTAGTCTTATTTCATGCGACTTTTGAGTTGGGGGGTTATTTACGAAGAAAGGTTGTTTGGGAAAAAAGGTAAGAGAAAAGATTGAAGTGGAGTAAGTTGCATAGATAGTCCATTTTAGGGTTTTTTTTTATTATATAATTTTCTCAATATTGAAAATTGTATTGGTTATTAGTACTTATTTTTACAATTTTTCATTTTTTTTGAAATTTTCAAAAATACCCTTGGACACAAATCAATTCTTTAAAATTTATTTCTTTCATTAATTTTCAATTTCATATGCGCTATTCAAATATATTTTTCATATTTTATTATATTTTTTTGTATTTTTTTAATTTTTAACACTTTTTTGACCGCTTAGGACTTGCTCAGTTAGAACGGTTGAACTGATTGGCTTATCTAAACCATTCCATTTCGATTTTTCTTGAACTGAATTGATATGTGCAGTGTGGGAAAGCGTGAACCAAGCATGGAACTCGACCTAGGCCGGGTGCAACCTGATTTTTTTCAAAAATATGATAAAAAAAAATATTTCTTTTTATATTTTTTCAAAATATGATAAAAATATATTTTAAATAAATTTAAACAAAACACAAAAAAATGAGGTTAAAAAAAATGAAAAACTAGATTTTGAAAATTAATTTGTATCTGGAGGTTTTCTAAAAATAATCCAAAAAAAAGAAAAAATCTAATTAATGATGAAATTTTTTTTTCAATCATTGTCAAAATGATAGAAAATATATTATAAATATATTTCTTTTAGATTTTTATAATTTTTATAATTTTTTTTAAGATCTCAAACTTGGACCACCAAACTCGAGATGTCACCAAGCTAACTGGCTCGGTAGATCCAGATACATCCAGGTTAAAAGAAACCCGACAGGATGGTCGAAAAAACACCTGAATAGGAAGCCCTCGGGTAGGTCAGGTAGGGGTTCAACCCTTGCAGTCAGACCCCCTAAACTCATACCAACTCGCCTCGTGGCCAATTCCGAGTACCCCAGCGGGTTTTATCTAATCGGATGACGAGGATTCAGTTTTTCTCACTTGTAGGGTCTCTTTCGATATTAGTTTCCACGGTGGAGTCGAGTTTTGTAAATTTCTAGAATCATGCGCTTTTTGCATATTAATGTTTATTTTGAACGCGTAACCAAAGTTAAATAATAAAATTTCCGATTTTTACGAATTCTCTCATTCCTCTCGAGTCTCTGGCGTCTCGCCCGCTGGACAGAGAGAGAGTCACAATTTTCTAGAGAGAGAGACACACAATTTTAGAGAGAGAGAGAATTTTAGATAGAGAGACGCAATTTTAGAGAGAGAGAGAGAGTCACAGTTTACGTGTATCCAACTTAGAGAAGGCCTCCAAAACCAAATCTCTTCCACGTATTTTGCGGAGTCCCCTTCCTTTATTCCTCTCTCTAAGAGGAATAAAACCCACATCGAATTTTATATATATATAAACCCTTGTCGCCCTTTTTTGTTTTTTCCTGATATCTCAATCACACGCGCTATTCTTTTGTTGTAATTGTTTTTTTGGGTTCTCCAATGGCTCATCCTAACTGCGACTGCAATTCTGATTTCCTCATGATATTGACCTGAACCGATGCAAAGGTATGATTATGCTTCTAATTCTGAGTATTTATATGTGAATTCAAGCTGTTTCTTTGTCTATTCCAGTAAATTTGCTTTATTCTATGACAATTATCGTCAGGGTATTGAATTTTCTGATTTTTGTTGTGCTATCGAGCGAAATTTGCCTTATTTTCCAAATCTGGTGAGTCTGGTTATTGGATTTCCTTTTTGGTGTTGTTTGTACTCCTATTATCATGTCTCTATGTGGAATTGTGACTTTAAATATGGGTTCACTTGGTTGGGTTTGAATATCTTCCGTGTTCTTTCATGGAATATGTTCTCAATTAGCTGGAGGCCTTTGGGGATGTGGTATGTTGTTTCAAGTCATCCAGTGTAAGAGAGGTTTTTTAGTTTAGGTTAGGTGAGTTAATGAGTTATGAACTTGGTTCTGTTGAAGTAAAGCGTATGTTTTACCAAAGACTTCAACTTTACACATTCCGAGAACTAAGTGTAATTGTTTGTCATTTTTATGTCAAGGCTATTCCCAATTTCTTATTTTTATTTCTTGTTTATATTTGTTGTTCAGCAATTGCTGGTGAGCTAACACTTGAATCATGAGAATGAGACACCCATGCATATTATAGTCAAGAACCTTAACGTAAGTCAAATATGGCCAAGGCATTGATCACAAGATTTACATGGATATAGGTTTCTAAGCATATCATAAAAGGTAGAGCTTTTCAACATTAGTATTTATATTGGCAATAAATTGCCCCACTTGTGGCTAATATTAACAGTTCAGAGAGTCTTACCTTTTTTTCTTTCTTATAATGGAGACTCTCAATTTCACCCAGATAAAACATATAACATTAGATTCGATGCAGATTTATTGAGAAGTATTGCCTTAAGGGTATGTTTGACAACACAAGATTTGGATATTCAAATTTTTAGACATATGAATAAAGGCATTGCCTTGCTTTGATTTTATATTATCATGATATGTCTTTTTATGTGCGTATTTGAAGTCTAACTATATTTAAAATTTTTCATAAATTTGAAAATTTTGGACTTTATGGCTGACAAAGTTATAACTTTATTTATTTTTATATTTGGTACATATTTGAGAACGGCTTTCCAGCCACACCTTCCAAGCCTGTTGGTAATGGAGTTATTTTAGGGAAGGTATATCATTTCAGAGAAGGTAAATCCCAAACCTGCAAACCCCTAATTCATCTACACTCCTATCGTGCCATCATGCCATTTCTCAGCGCTGCTTCCATGGCACAAACCAAAGCCTTCTCGTTAGCACTATCTTCCTCCTTACGTGTATAGAAGAATGCTCAAACAAAGTGCCTATCCTCAACCATCACGAATTGTGCTTTTGAATCAAAGGAGAGGTCTGCCCAAACTCTCCATCGTAGAGATCTTGGCGTCTCACTTAGAAATTTCTGGTTGCCATTCTTCTCGCTCTACTCCAAAAACACCTTAAAAAATAAATCTCCCTCTCCATCGATCTCCTGGGTTTAAAATCTACCTCTCCATTGACCTCCCTCACTTTTCTCCACAAAAACATGGCCACCACGCCACCCAAATAGCTTATACCCAAATCTCTCTCTATTTCTTCCCCACCGAGGCAGGTTCCTCTCTCTCTCTCATATCCTACCCTTGAGGAACCAAATCACTCTCTCTCTATCCATCCCTATCTCTTATATGTTACGCTTGAGAAACCAACCCTCTCTCTTGCTTTCTTATATGTTATGTTCGAGAAAACAATTCACTATCTCTAGCCATCCCTCTCTCTCTCTCTCCTACAAACTCTTTATCTTTGCCTTCCTTTGGCAATTCAGTTATTTCAGAAAAGCAAAAACACAAACCTGTAAACTCTTTATCTTTGCCTTCCTCTAGCAATAGAGTTAATTCAAAGAAGTAAAAACCCAAACCTGTAAACTCTTTATCTTCACCATCCTCTGATAATAGAGTTACAGGTCTTCGTAATGGAGTTATTTCAGAGGAAAAAAACCCAAACCTGTAAACTCTTTATCTTTGCCAACCTCTCGTAGTGGAGTTACAGGTCTTCTTAATGGAGTTATCACAAAAAAGAGAAAATCCATGCCTATAACGTTTTTGCGTTCTTCAGCTAATGGCAATGAAGGCTTGAGAGAGACAAGGAAGAGTACCATGAAATAGTGTGAGAGAGATATCAGGGTTTAGAAGGTCTCTGTTGAGGGGGGGAGAGAGAGGGTCTCTGATTAGATAGAGGCAGAGGGTTTCAATTGAATGATAGGAAAGGGGCTGTTGGACGGGGAGGGAGAGAGAAAAAATATGGTTATGAGTGGATGAGAGAGGGAGAGAGACGCAATAAATTTTGACGCTAGAACTGAATCCCCCAAAATTCAACTACGATTTGAATTTTTGGGGATTGGGATATTTGGAGGTTATCTGAATATAAGAAGATAGACTTTGGTCCTATCAAACAGGGCATAGTAACTTGTATAATTCCAATTACTATAGAGTTTATATTATCCTGAAATATTAGGATATTAGGGGGTTGTCAAACAGACCCTAAGGGGTTTTCCAAGGAATTGGGCGCCTTTAGTTTACTTTCATCATTGGCAATCATGGTCTGAAGTATAGAATCCTCCATCTCCTCAGGCTAGGCAGGTCCTAATCCTCAAAACCATTATGCGCTTGTTCAAATATTGCAGGTGAGAACTGCTTTCAGAGAAAATTTTCTGAGATCCATGTTTCATCATTTCTTTCTTGGTACAGGAATATTCGTTCTCCATGGATATCGGGCAGAAATTTTCTTCTAAAGTTGTGTGCTTTAGAGTCGTTAATAGACACCTTTCATCTACTTATTTAGAGATTTGGCTGTTGACTTTGACCTTCTGTCAATTGAGTATTGTCTAAGGTTACCATTTAGATGGAGGCAAAGCTGTTTGGGGCAATCACTGACATGAATCAAGGTATAATTCCAGAAAGTGTCTCAACCGATTTCTGCACTGATTTCTTAGTCCTTCTGATCCTTTGTAGAAACAAACGGTTGGACACGATAGTCAATGGTACGCTATGGAAGCCTCTTGTACAATCTCGAGAGTGCTAACTTATTTGGTCTTGGCTTCCTAATCTTATCTGTTATGCAGCGTGTATGAGATGAACAAATCTCATGAGCTACCCGGGCTCCATCTACTCCTTCCAAAATTACGTAGTCTGAGAGCTAAACCAGTCCTTCACTAGGCTATAGGTTCCTTTGATTCTTGAATCCCTAAGTCTCGGACAACTGGAATCCATCCAAGATTCTTACTCCTCTGAACCATTTGATTGGAGCAACTGTTTTCACCATCTCATGCATGAATTATTGCCACACTCCTATTACCTGGACTATACATCAATGCTTCTAGTACTATGATTCCTCGCCAACTTTTCATGATCCACAAGGCATTAAAAAGCAATCAAATGACCCTACTTTGGTTTTGGAAGTGAATTAGTATATTTTCTACTTGTGCTAGGAGGTGGATGTTGAACTCTTGCTCTTTGTGTATCTCCTTGTCCTGCTTGTTGGTCCTAGGAAGGGAGCATAACACTATTGAATGGAAGCTTGAATATGCTTATATAATTTGCTTAGGTCTGAGCTTCATTTAGAAAGTAGTGAACTCTATGCGTTTTTGTATAAATTAAAATCATAATTCTTGTTCAATGAAGGACATAGTCATTACATTGAGCTTCTTGGTTTGTGGCACTATTGTTCAGGACTCAAGTCTTAGCTTACTCACCCCTATAAAAAGAATAAGAGGGGGAATGGTCATCAAGAATCGGGGGAAAATTGAGGATTTTATCATGGAAATGCAACAAATAGAAGCTCTCACCACCCCCTAGGCCATTGATTAAATAGCAATCTCTATAGTTCATATGTAAAAACCTTATCGACTGGATCCTTTTGGATATAATTATGTGTCATTTTCTAGACTATGTGAGACTTGGATTCTCACCTCAATGAACTACTTGGCCTTGAATTGTTAAGGAATATCAAATGTATTATTTGGTGTTCATCTATTGTGAGGTGTTCTATTCATGATGATGGACAGGGGGATTCTTCTTATCATCCAAGACCTGGAGGGTGATAAAGATGAGTATTTTGTGACTTGTGAAACAAAGGGAGTATTTTAGAATTCATTTGTGGCATTTGTTGTGCCCCAGTGAGGCAAAGGGTGATTATCTCAATGTGATTCAGTGTTTCAAAAAGCGGACCGCCTCGCCTAGACGGTTCCGTGGGCCTGGGCATATCGCTCAGGCCTAAGCGCCAAAAAAAAGCGGATATCCCTGGGCGCCCACCTAGGCACCCGAGAACCCGCCTAGGGGCGGAAATGTCCCTCGTTGAGGGTATTTTTGGATCATTTTTTTAATACTAAAGGTGCAAAATTGTGGGTTTTAGGTTCATTTGAACCTAAAACCCATTAGAGCCTAATTTAGAGGGAGAAAAACCCAAAAAACAAAAATTTTACTGGGCCGCCCAGGTTTTGGGCGCCTGCCTAGGTGCCGCCGAACGCTTTTTGAAACGTTGATTTGATTAAATGACTTCTTGAGGTTAGAGGCTTCCCATGGAGATTACTGGAAACGTGCTAGGTTACAATTTTAAAAGAAAAAAATTGGGAAAGAGAAGCATAAGCACTCTATTATCAAACACAAATAACAAGTACTCACTTTTTCTTTTGTTTTTTTGTTATCTTACGGGCTTGGAATGTCAGATCTTATGGCAATAAGTGTTTGGGCTATAGATACCTCTTGAGGCCTTTGCTGCTAACATCTGGGGTAAGAAGCAAATAAAATGGATTTAAATCAATGAGTTGTGGAAATTAACGTACAACCCAATAGTAGGGCAATTGCTCTAGATCATGTAATAAAAGAGAGGAAAGAAAATCTGGTGATCTATGGCGCCACACAGTAGCACTGGGGCCAGCAGATGCCCTCTTAGCAAGGGCATCTACAACTATGTTTGCCTCCCGAAAAACATGTGTAATAGACCATCGATGAGAAAAAGT